GAATGGTCAAGTAATAAAGGATTTGCTTTTTGTCTGCTCCCTCTTCCCCTTCCCTCTCTCCCTCCTCCTCTCTCAAGATAAAGTAGAGGAAGTGCTTCTTCCTCTCGAGAAAGATCTTAACATAGGGGAAATTAACAACTAAGAAAACTTGCATCAAATATAAGTGGTTGACGAACAATAGTTGTCGACAGATAGCAAGCTTCTATCCATCAATATCTAAGCTTTAATGCTAGTGTGGATTACATACTAACTTTTTTAAATTGCTAAGCTCTCAAGCCAATTTTATGAGTTTCTTTAAGAGTTTGGACATTTGAAGTGCATGTTCAAGCAATGTATTAGTGAATATATATAAAATATGAATTTAACTTTCAAACAATAACCACCAAGTCAAATGCGCGTTTACTAATTGAAGAGCAATTTGTTTTGGATGTCATAAGAATTTTTCTAAAATAATATATTAGATGTTGTTTATTATTTGAATATAGCTTACTGTGTTAAACCACCTAAGTAAAAGAAGTCAAACTCTTAAATATTGAGATGACTTTTGGTGTTATGGCTTAAATTTCATTAAGAAACTCCAAGATTAAACGTACTATTATGGGAAAAATCTTAGGATAGGTGACCTCCTTAGAAGTTACATCAATGGGATAAAATTGTGAGGCTATTAGACTAAAACAGCTAATATCTCTATAGTTAAGAGTTTGAGCTATTACATACTATAAATCTATTTGCTTGACGTATAAACAAAAATTCATGCATACTCTTGAAAAACTAAGTGTTAATAGATGTCATATATTTCTTGATATTTTGAAATGACTTCTTAAATTCATCAACCTAATTTAGAGATGATTAACTCTCTTCCATTTCTTTTTTTAGCTATCATGGTCATTAAAATTTTAATCTATTACATCCAATTCACTCGTCAGATTATCATCATAATATTCTATATTTAGAACAAAAATCTAAAACATAATCAATTATAGCCACTTCCATTGGATGTTTTTGGTTGATGATTCAATTATAAATAGAGTGGACCAGTTCGACTTTCCTAGAGGCAACATTATCCAGTCACGATTTGATCATGAGAAGATATTATCATCATCAGTTGATGACAAGGATGAAGAATATTAGGAATAAAGTTTAGAATATTCTCTTATGAAAATTATAATATAGCCCTTATTTAACTCATTAACATTTTTATGAGGAAAAGTTCGCAAGAGATTTTATCCTCTCCGATGATACTTGTTGTGCTCCCATCAATGAGCATCTTAATTATTTGTCTCAAAATTTGCATTATAAGTGCACTACAATCACAACTATCATGTTGCTCATTCACTCAAAAAGATTAGGTAATGCTCAGGTCCTACATATTATCATTCCACTATCATTATGGTCACATCAGATGTGCCTATATATGAGCTTTGATAGATCATCTTATTGATGCAATAGCCAACTGTTTTTCATCGTTGCATTTGGAAAGAAAATTAAAGTTTTGAAGATAGCCTTGGATCCTTTACACTCCACAACTGTTTTGATTGTCGATGAAAGCCATCATTCTCATCAAGCTTTTCATCAATAATAGAACCATGCATTATTATTGGATGCTTGGTTGACACCACCTGTAGTCCCTACTGCTCGTTTGGCATTGCAATCATTGACAGTCATCGATGGGATTAGTTATATTTCTATTATTACCTATAGATTTATATTAAACTCCATAACTATTATAAGTGATGATGGACACAATCATTCTCATCAAACTCCTCATAGATAATGGAATCATGCATCATATTATATGCCTGGTTTTCTCCACTTACAACCCCACCTGCTCATCTAAATCTTGCTAGTTGTGACAATCATCAATGTTGTTGATCAAATTTCTATTTTTAACTCTAGGTTTGTATTGTCATCTCTGTGAAATCCGTCAAGTAAAAGAAGCTAAACTCTTAAACATCGAGATGCCTTGTGATGTAATGGTTGAAATTTTATTTAAGAAACTCCGCAAGTAAGTGTGCTCATCCTGAAGTAATTTTGGGATGGATGACCTACTGGGAAGTTACACCAACAGGATAAAATCATAAGGCCTTTAAGTCAAAACAGACAATATCTTAATAGTTAAGAGTTTGAACTATTATAATCTCATTAAAATCCACTACGTACAACCTTCATCCCTTAAGCTAGACATAATCACCATTTTTTGTAACACCAAATCAAACTTTATAATTTGTTTATCTTTGATGAGAACTACTCTATAGAATTTATCTTATTCGATGATGCTTACTGCCCTCCCTATAATGGCTAACTCACTCACCTCAAGTGGATTACATATGATGGTAATGAGAGATCATTGTGAGACCTCGTTCCCTTACTGTTCCTCTCCTGATTTGGATTTTGATAACTCTGGTAAATTGTTTGAGAAATTGATTGACATTCTTTCCAAGTTAGATCTTGGGGCATCACAATCATCCTGTCAGTTATTTTGTATATACCTAAGCTCATTTAACATACAAATAGTTAATACAACACAAGTGAAAAATAATAATAATAATAATACAACACAAGTGAAACTCAACAAGATTTTTCCATACAATGGGAAAATTTTTACAGACTTCCTCCACTTAATTTGATGACACTAGTTGCACTTCATTTGTGGCTGGCTTTCTCACCACAAGTATATCACATATGATGTAACAATCATGTCATTAATTGTCATATGAAAACTTGATAATTAATATTCAAGGTCCCAATAGATTATGCATTGCCGTCCCAAAAGGTTTTTGTGGCGAGGTCCCAATTCGGAATAATAAAGGGCGTCAAAGGTGTCTATTTTATGAAAATATGAGATAGTATAGACAGTATGATACATATGATTCGAATCCAAAACTTTTTGATTGGTACTCAAATTAAACTCCCAACCAATAGACCGGTTTTTCAAATACGAAAAAATTGTAATAGCTCTTATTTTGACCCAGATAAATAAACTTTTTAAGTAGTTATTATAAGTCTAAATTAAATTTTTGGGATCATAAAAACTCAAAATAAATTTCAGATTTATTAATTTAATCTATAAATTAATTGTGAAAGAAAAATTAAATATTTTATTGTAAGAAGATTTGGAAAATATTTTTTTATTAACATCATACATTAATAAATTTGATTATGAAAAATTTTAATCATAATAAATCTTTAATCTGTCAGTCCGATTGCAAGCACAAAGAATAATGTAACATACAAAAATATCAAAAAGCTGCATTGCAGTATGGATATTTTAGTCCATTGTGTTGTTGCTACCTTATTTCCTTTATTGTTTTCTTATATTACTTTATAGATAAACTCTAAAGTCTAAACATTAAAACCAACCAAGAAGAACATCTAATTCATATAATAGTAATAAATAGCTGCCTAATTAGCCTGCAATTACTCAACAGCAAGACTTGGTAGGTTAGCCTGTTTCCTTAGGCTTTAATATTGTCAAGCCTTTTGTCAGCACAGTTACATAGTTTAAGCTTTACTTGTCTGCACCTGAAAGGTTCCTTTGGCATTTAATTTAAGACTCAATGATTAATTTCTCTCATCAAAGTGGATCTCTCCACCATAATGATTGTTTACTGTTACCATTAAAACAGTTTTGTGCACTAAAACTTTCTTTTGAAGCTGTTGATTACAACCGAGCATTATTCTCTCTTTCTTTTGAACCTGTAACTTTTATTATTTTTGCAAGCTTTTAAACTATTGTTATGTGTGGAGTGTCAACTAAAGGAGAAATTATTTTGTGTCAAGGCTGGACACTGCTTTACGTCCGAAGGCGAATCAGATGCAGCCACGTCAGCGGTACCGAGCAATACCAAGCCGCGGTACACAGCGAAGGGGTGACGTGACGCATTCTGGTTGGTCTCAGAAAGGCGTTCGGTGTCCACACAGAATAATTAATCCAACTAAAACTGATTAGTGGTGGAACTGAAGGATGGTTGAGCTCAAAGCTGGCAGTTAGGGTCAGAGCACGCTGGCAGCCAGGGCCTCCGCATGCTGCCAGCCAAGGACTTCGCATGGTGCCAGTCAGGGCCTTCGCACGCTACCAGCCAGGGCCAGGGCGCGCTAGCAGCCAGAGCCTTCGCAGGCTGCCAGCTAGGGCTTTCGCAAGCTGCCAGCCAGGGGCTTCGCATGCTGCCGGCCAAGTTGGCAGCCTGGGCATGCTCTCAGCCAGGGCCAGGGCCAGGGCACGCTGGCAGCCAGGGCCTTAACACGTTAGCAGCAAGGGCCTTCGCAAGCGGCCAGCCAGGGGCTTTGCACGCTGGGTGTGACCTTGCTCAACATGGAAATCTCACCATAAATTCTCTTTGAGATCAATCCTAATAGTTTTAAATAAAAAAGCTTAAGCATATTTGAAGGTCAATTGTTTGATATTTATGCTTCAGCATATTGTTCTTAGACTAAATATGACATTCTTTGATATATTAACAAATTATAATTCACATAAGAGCTCTTTGCATTGATCACTAGCCTTCGTCAGATCATATGATTGCTGCTCCATAGAATATTACTTTCTCTTAAAATAAAAAATTTTCGATATCATCAAATACAATGCATCTCGAGCTTATTCAATCGTGTGGAGCCTATAGGAGAATCATCTATAATTGAACACCGCACAATTACAATAGAACAACCAGAGATTATAGTTACCTTTGGGACAACTTTCATGCTGCTTCTTAAAGTAGCTTTTAGTAATAAAAATTAAAATTTTCATACTAGAAGTCTGCTTTAAGAAGTAGTAAGAAAGTAGTTCCAAACAAAACCTATAAGAGCCTCAAACGTTGATCTAATTCATTTTAAACAATAAAAACATTACCATGACAATGGAGATCTGTGACAGCCTTATATATTTTTCAAAATTTTTAAGACACTCGATGAATTTTTCCACCTCTGAATATGACAAAGTTCTCTAATTTTATTTATCTAATAAATATGAAGCCACCTTACACACCAGTACATTGAAGTGACAAAAACAAATCTCATCATAATTGCAAGCAAACAGATTTTCTCTACATCATGCTTTTAACAAAATTAGCTCTACTAATAATATCTAAATAACAAAAAAACTGGGCACATCAAAATAAATAATTTTTTTACATTCCATTGTTGCTTTTGAAAATCTCTGTTTTCAAATTCAGCAAATTTCTGGTCGCTCCTGCTTCTCACACTCTTCAGCAATCCTTGAAGCAGAAAATGACCACAATTCAACATCACTAACAGTTTTTTCTTCCACAACCACTCTGCTGAGATTTCTTGCAATAAGCTATTGCTCCTTGAATCGACTTCTCCACCTCTGAATCCACAATGCTGAGACTATTCGACTTTAAACTTGAGAAGGAAGAAGAACTTGAAGATGAAGAAGATGAAGTTGAAGAGGATTTGTTTGGCAAATGCTGCCTATTTACAGCATCAGAAAATGACCTCCTATGCCCACATCCCTCCACTTCCATCTTCTCTCCGTCAAAGCTTCTCATGACTCTATTTGCTCTGCTGGGAATAAGACCAAATGGGGTTTTCCTTGATGGCTTCTTGTGAGCAATTGAACATTCTTTGGCTTTCAAGACTGTGCAGGAATCATCAGAACAGGTTGATTTTGTGAACAGAGACTTGAGATAAGCCTTTGACGCCTTGAGCTTGAGACCCAAAGAGGACTGTCTAATCAGTTTCAGTTTCTTAGACCAAGACTTGCTGTTTTGAGATTGGTTGAAGTAGAAGTCTTCAGGGTGGAGCTCTTGGCTGACACAGCAAGAAGTGGAAGGGGAGATGTTGCAGGACTCGAATGGAGTGCTGGTGGTGGAAATAAGATGGAAGGAGTCATCAAGATTGAATTTTGAGATGGTGGTGGGATTTTGAAGGATATTTTGGGACTTTTGAAGCTGTGGGAGATGAAGTGGGAGTAGTTTTCCATTGTGGAAGAGGTCATCAGCAGGGGATGTGATCGGCTCCTTTTCTACTAGATGGGTACTCTTCTGGAATTCAAATTCCTTCGACTCTGTGGGGGAATTTGAAATAGAGTAGCAAAGGAAAGTGGTGGAAGAACTGATGTCCATGTCAATGTAATCTTCTTGTACTAGTTGGTCATGAAAGAGGTTTCTTGCCATTCTCTCTTTCTCTCTCTCTATTCTGATTCAAAAAGCCACACTCTCTTCTTCTAAAGCAGAATTTGCTCTCCCTTTCTCTTCCCTGCTATTTCTCTATTGTTTGATAGTATGACTGAGGAGTATGGTGTTTTGTGTGAGAGCATCCTTTAAAGCATTGGCAGAGACAACTAGGTAGCTCAGCTCTATGGGAGGGGCGATTTTGGGAAAGCTGCCTAACTGCTTTATTTTTAATAAATGTATTAAAATTTTAATTTATAGAACGAATTAGATTTTGTTTGAGTTTTTTTATTATTTTATGAAGCAGTTTTTTAGTATAATAAAAAAAAATTATTATAAAGCAATTTTAAAAAGCGGCAAGAAAGTGATCCCAAACAAAACTTTAGTGTAAAATCCTATAATTCATTATTAACAATTTTTGTAGTCCAATGTCTATTTTTTATTCAAATTTATAAAATTGATTACTGATGCTTCTAATGTGAGCACTAAAATTATAAATAGGACTACTGATGTTTTAAATGTGTTACTAAAATAATTGATTTGCTTATTAGGGCTGGTTTGGTTCCGCGTTATTCCGCTTTTTTTTCGTTTGAAACGGAAAACTTAGTTGAGAGAAAATGTTTGGATGTGAGACATATTTTTTCAGAAACGTCATTTTTCTACTATTTTGAGAAGCGTTACGTATTAGCTTCTCCGCTTAAAAAACTCAATTTCTTCTATTGACATTTTTGAAACCGAAACAGTAAATAAACCAAACGAAGACTTCGAATTCTGAATGCCAATAATAATTGTTAGAATAAATTAATATAAATATCTAGACTTTTTTAGCCACAATCAAATTTATGCTTCGTTTGAGACCGCTTTCTTACTGTTTCTTAAAGTAACTTTGTAATACAAAAATTTAAATTTTAACTTTGTACTAAAAAAATGATTTAATATGCAGTAAGAAAGTCGTCCCAAACAAAATCTTAATCACATTTTTATTACAATAACCATATTTAAAATAAGAGTTATCAAATTCACAACTTGAACTAAATTTGTTTTTTTATCAATCATAAAATTTTAGGTAAAAATCTCCTAATTTATTTAAACTTGAAAAAAAAAAATCCTTATATTTTTTATTTTTTTTATTTTTTCATTGTCTGAGGTTCAAAGACAATGAACTTGCCCAGCAATTTATATCTTTATGAGAGAATTAATGGCTTCATTTCTTACAATTAAAAACAGAACAACAAAAGCGAAAACAACAACACAAAGCACCAAAGTATGCCTATGAATTTCAAGAACAAATTAAGAGCATTGAAGTTCTGTAGTCCCCACTTTTCCATATGTTAGCTGAACCTAATTATCAATAGCTATCAAAATTAATCTATATTTTTTTTTCAACTGCTTATTTCCAAGCTCTTCACTCTCCACACTTTTCCTCTTAATTACTGTATTTGGTGCCTTGTGCACGATTAAAATTATGTGCGGATGCTGAACGTAATCCGGAGACCAACCAAAATGCGCTACTTCACCCCCTCGCTCGGTACCGCGGCTCGGTACCGTGTCTCGATACCGCTAATATGATTGATCTCCTGATGGAGTTCCGCATCCGATCTCTGCACAGAATAATTTCTTCTTGTGCACATTAATTTGAATTTAAATGGAGACCATTTCCCCAAATCATGGAGTTCTGTGCATCAGAAGTGCCAACTGTAATCAGCAATATACCGTTGGACCTAAACTCTGCACTCTGCAGGTCAAGTTCTATTTTTGCCAACTACATTAATTATTGCAATTTTCTATTAGCAGAATGGACCCTGTAACCACTTTAAATTCACCTCCACGTGTTCAATTTATGCATTGGAAGGCTTAATTTTTTTTAAATTGGTTGGTAATAGTATAATTTTTGAAAATAATTGAATCTGCTGATTTTAACTAAAAAGGTATCACCGACACAATGAAGTGGGAAACATAGAGGTTTATAAAATTTTTAAAGAATTCCAGGCAGTGCTCGAAGCTCCCTTTTGCTCCTAAGCCAAGAATTTTTTGTTTTTTAAAGAAAAGCCAAGCTTTCTTATCTGAAAAATATGATCTTCAGATTTTGAAATGGTATTATGCCTCTTTGTTTTTCATGAAATTAGTGAGTCTCCCATAAAGATGAAAAAGCCTATAAAGATTTCTTAGTGTCATTGCGTTGGGGGGAAGTAAAATCACGTAGTGAAACAAATAAGAAATAAAATATGCAGCGAAAAAGAAAAGGAAATTAAGATTTAACATGGAAAAATTCGAAACGGGTAGAAAATCACAGAGTCACATCACACCAAAAAATCTAATATGAAAATTAGGAGAATAGTATAAATCTCTCTTCTTTCTCACTCTCTCTTTCTCTCTTCTCTCTTCCACTTTTCTCTACTTAGAACTAACAAAGAGATTCAATGCAACTACTAATGGACACAACCCTTAATGAAAAACAAGAAATAAAACTATCTAATTGGCCTTGCAATGCTGCGGCGCCAATTTTGAGCGCCGCAATGCTCATACTCTCTTTATTCATTATGCATGACAGCGTCGTAGCACCAAGGTTCGTTGCGTCGTAACACTCCGCTTCTCTATCTTTTTCCATTAAATTATGCAGCACCAAGCCCTCAAGTACACAACACCAGGGTGTTGTACATAATTTTTTTTTTTTTGCTCCAACACAAGTAGGGGGAGGACCTCCATCGAGCTTAATAGGCTGATTTGAGATCCGAGGCAACAATACAACCCAATTGATCAACACAATTAGATTTCACACAAAACTAACACTTTGCATAATCCAAAAAATAAAAAAAACCTTATCTTGGTGTAGATTTAAGATATAATAATAAGTCAAACAAAAAAACAATACTAAAATGTGGCATTCTAGGTTGAGCTAAGAGCTGACTCAAGTTATGTACAACTAGTGTGATATCAGGATGAGATGATATATAGCAATCTTCCCACTAATATCAAATTTTGGGAAACATTTCGAACGACTTCAATTATACTCATAGAATTTTTCTCTTTCATTTTCTAACTTCTCAGGAATATTCATAGAAACATTTCAAAGTTTTTACATAACTATTGAAATTGCCAAAAAAAATCTCTATCCATTTATATACTAAAAAAATTTGTGCGGAAAAAATCAACCTATAAAAATCTAATTCCATATAGTCATAATTTTCAAAATAAAACCTATTATAACATATTAAAAATTATGTAGTAAAAACTTAGTGAAACTTGAAAAAAAAAAAACACATTTTTTTTATTCATAACTCTTTATAAAATAACTGGAATAAATAAGAGTTCAGATATCTACCCCATACTCAATAGTATACCCAAAGGACGATTTTTCTCTCTCTTCCCCTATCAACAAGAAAACTAAAAAAAGAAAATTAAAGGCAAAGATTTTTTTTTTCTCTGTTCTTCCCCGAAGTGCACTGATCACATGCAACACAAAAACCCTTCGGTTAGCGAGCCTACAATACCACAAATAGTGAATTAAAGCCTAACATTTAAATTATAGAACTACAGTTGTTGGATTGGATTTGATTGGATGGAGCATATATTATAGGACCTCTCGAACAAAACATAAACATATTAAAATCATTTAAGACTTAATTAACATTGAAAGATGATTAATTTGTCTCTTTAGGCCTCAAATGCAATATTCAAGAAGCTTACCTCGCTCTGATATCGAAGCATCGAGATTCATTTGCTAAAAACGGCTTTATTATTATTTTATTTCCTTTTTGAAAATAATGCATGGGTTTGGATTTTGAAATCAAAATATAAAAAAAAAGAGAAAAATTATATGCATATCATTTTATTTAATTATTCATAAATCTAACATTTAAATTTTTTTAATTTAATTATATATAATTAAAACTTCTTAAAATCTCAAAATTTCCTCTTGCTTAAAATTTTCATCTTTATTTCTATTGTGTGGCTAGATTTGTTAATAAATAATATGACTCGAAAATATGAGTTTGGGTTGACCTGATAAATTCTTAGGCTAGGGCCTATTAAAAATTTTAGGATAAAATTAATATTCGGGTTGAGTTCGGACTACTCTGAAAGTTTGAATTTGACTAAAATTTGATCCAATTATTATTTGAGTTTGGGCTAAAAGGGTTATATTTGAGTTAATCGGATTAGGTTAACTTAAAAAAATTACACTCTATATGATAAACAAGTTAGAGAGATCGAATTTGGATTAGTTAGGTTTGGGTCAAATCAAGTTCTAATTAAATGTTTTGACTCGTATAATCAACAAGTCTAATTTGAGTCAAGTATATTTGGATTGGATCTACTTCAGTTTCAAACCGAAATCTCACTTGCCAATTCAAAATAACATCGATACCGATGAGTGTTCATCCTCTCCCTCCCTTTTAATTGTTGTTATAAATTTTGAAAAGACAACTTGCAGTTGTATATTATGAGATTAAAAATATATATTTTATAATGTCGAGTTTAAAAAGACGTTATATACGACTGAGCTTAGAATTTAATGAAAATTCATTTTGTGTTGTTGCATTAGGTGTATTAGGATCATATGCAAATAATAATACGTTAGCTATGAAAATTTATTTCTCTGATTAACTTGTGATTGACACAGCCACAGTTTTAGGATTGACAACAACAGTGATATTAAAGAATTCTAGATGGTACGTAAATAAAAAAATAAGTTTTGGATGTGAAAATTATAATTATGAGAATTTGAAATACTATATTTGCAAATATAAAAAAAAGTTGAAAATTTAAATATTTAATGCATATGAACTAATTTAACAGATTAAAATTTTGTTATGGATCTTAAAATAAAATTTCATAATAATATGATGTCAAAATAATAATAAAATATTATTTTTTTCAAGACATGAATGAATTTATCCCTAAATTAATACACACATCATATGTATTAAGCCTCCAACATAAGAGATAAGCTCTCAATTAATAGATCCAACATGAGCTCATAAGAGATTGTCGCATGAATAGAAATCATCGCCTGTACAAAATAAGCTATGACAAAATAAAAGTAATCGAACGTGCACAGCAGCCAATAGATCAGGCCAAAGAAAACTTAATAAATGTCTTCCTGTAGATCAAAAGGACAAAAAGTAACAAGAAAACCACTATCCTATGCGCAAACGCCTAGGTTTTGCTATTATCAATTAAAAAATTCAACCGAAGCTGTTTATACAGTACAATGGCCTCGAACCAGCACCCACCAGAATTGAAACAAGCATCATTGGCAATCTTTTTCGTGATTAATTATTTTGTGCGGATGTTAAATATCGTTTGGAGATCAATCAGAATGTAAAATATCACCCATTCGCTCGGTATTGTGGTTCGGTATTGCTGTTTACAGCTCAGTACCGCAGCTCGATACAGCTGATATGACTGCACCTGATTCACCTTCGGACGTAAAGCTGCATCCGGTCTCCACACAGAATAATTTATCCTTTTTTTTTGCTTGTCTTGTTGCTTATGGTATATTCAGATATAATAAATAAATAATTGATATAAATAAATTTTATTAATTTTTATGTGTAGCATAGGATGTAATTAAGACTTTATTTAGAATAATTTTCTTACTACTTTTAAAAACATTGTTTTTTGTAAAAAATATTAAAAAAAATAGGAGTAAAAAATTATGCCAAAGGAAGTTTAAAGCTAGCTTTTTTTTTTACAAACTTCTTCTAAAAAACTTTACTTCTTCTCATCAGCTAACTAAAACTATAAAAATTTATAATTTACCACTTCAAAAAACGATAGTTAAAATGAATGCAAGTTTTCTCAAATAAAAGTCTATGACAATTCCTTCAATACAATCATTCCACGTAAAAGGTGGGTCAAAAATGAAATTTTCCTATTTTTATAAATTTATGTAAAATGTGGTTCTTATTAAAAAGAGCCTTCATTAAAATAATAATAATAATAATAAACAGTCTTCATGACATCACAAATTATCATGTGCGATCACCAAATGTTTCAGAGGCAAATGAGAATCCGAACAGTACACGACATCAATACATATCAACAGATGACAGGAAACATTTTGATTCACCTCTGAATACTATTTGGTGACCACACAGAATAATTTCACTCATATCAAATGGTGTAGTGTGTAGCTTTGCTCAAAATTGTTAACAAATGATCTTATTTCATTTCAAACTACAGAGGGCAACACAGACGCAACCCAAAAGACCTTTGATTAACGACCCTTCAGACTGCATTAGTGTTTTTTTTGCCGAACAATTAAAATTACCCTTTTTATTAGAAAAATGATATAAAAGATAAGATCTCAAGACCTTAACAATTTCTGAAATCTTGTTTAACTAAGGCCTTATTTGAGATAGTTCTATCTTTTTTAGATAACAAATGTATTTTCTCATTTTCTGTTTAGTTTTCAAAGGAAATTACTTTAAATAACACTTAAAAACTTTGAAGATTCACCAACATTCATGATCCTCACACAAGAATATAAATAGAAATACAAAATAAAAGCAAAAAAAGATCCCAAACACTCCCAAGTTTATCATGTAAATTTAGAATTATGTGCTTCAATGGAATGCCCTGCTATAGTGCTATACCATCCAATTTCATTTCTGAAAACTTATTTAGTGCGGATACCAGACGGTCCATAGACCAACCAGAACGACCCACGTCACCTGGTACCGAGCTACCGAGAATCAGGACCGAGCAAAAAAGTGAAGTGGTGCATTCTAGTCGGTCTCCAGACGCTGTCCAGGTCCTCACAGAATAATTTTTCCTAAGATAGAAAGGTATATCACAATTCCCATTCAGTTATATCTTCACTTGAGTAACCTCCAGTGGTGCTCCCATATTCTGAATCCATTTTTGCTAAATCTGCTGCTGAATACATTTTTTGTTCACTGGGTGATTCAACTGATTCTGGAGACTCAGTACCCATAGCTCTTGGTGTGCTGAATGAAAGTGCTGCTAGAGAGGGGCTCTTCTGCAATTTCTTTTCTAATGAGGTTTCCCTTTCTTTTGAATTTTCAATCTCCAAGTTTGGTCTTTCTATAGTTCCAAATTCTTTTCTTGCTTTCTCAGTGGAATTAAATAGTTCTTCTATTTGAGGATCATATCTCCTAATTTAAAGTGACATTTTTGCAAGCACAAATAAAGGAAAAAAATTATCAAATGAAATTCTATATAATTGTAACTTGATATTTAATTATCACAAGATAAAAAATTAAGAGAGTAGAAGTGTAACTTGTCAAACCTGGAGACACCATCTTGTCCAGCATAGAATAGCTCTTTCATGTGGTCAACAACAATGAACGCAGTGATAATCTGAGAAGATTTAATAACAAGCATAAAAAATAGAGGATAAATAAATGATGCCACACAACTGCAACATCGTATGCAAATGGTTTTGTACTATACAATTAATGCAATAAGCCTTCTGTTACCAAGACTGGAAAAATGGTGCACGCATTTTTAAGTTGAGCGGAAGAAAATTTTATATTTCTCAGTTTAAGAAATATTTTGAATATGTAAGTTACTCTAAATCAATATTCTGTTGAATGCATAACAGAAATTTTAAATAAGAAAATTTTAAAAAAGGGTAAGTAAATGTGTCAGGATGTAAAATTACAATGATTAATGCATGTTATGGTCCAGTGCGTTAAATTTAAATATAAACTACAATGAGGAAAACAAAATTGAAAGCCACTGAGTAGTGGGCTAGTGATGAAGTCCTACCAGTAGCCTAAATGCATTCATGTAATATGTTTAGCCAAGGTTTAAAAATGCGCAATTGGGTATTGAGACGTTTTCCATTCATGAGGCGAGGCGTAAGCCTCAAGACGTTTTGAGGCGTAAGCCTCAAAATCTAAAATTGCGTAAAGTCAAAATAAAAGTTAAAATTGATTTTTTATATACTATCCAAATTATGTGTTAAAGAATAACATATTAACTTTCTATTGAACAATGAAGTAACAATTTTCATAAATATGAAATAAAAAATTGTATAAGATGTAAAATGTTAAGTGATAAATTATATGAAATAAAATTGAAATTCAAATATTATAGGAACAAAATAACATAAAATATATGATTTGTATTAAAATATCATATAACATCAAGTTGAGTTCTAAATTTTTTCTTTCTTAGTTGCCTGCTCATATACGTTTAATTCCTAAGGAAAGTTGAAATAATTGGCCATCATTTGTACTATTATTACTAAGGGGAATTTTATTTGATTCACAGTCATAACAAATTGGTCTCTTCCCCATCTCATCCTGTAGGGTTCAATATCTCTCAATCTGCTTCTTCATTTATTTCAGTTATCTTCATCTTTTATAAATATTTGTTATCAACATAAAGATAATACTCCAAAATTTTAAGAGGAGATGGTGGTGGCGTACGGCTTTCTAGTGATCCCTCGCACTAGCGACGACAGTGGTGCCTATGATGAAGGTGGTTGAGAGGAAGTTACTGTGGCTTTGAGCTGCAAGAAAGCATGATTGTTTTTTGGACTTTTGTATAGGATTTAGGTAACTTTTAAAATAAAAAATATATATAAATAGAGTGAGGCGTATTCCTCATGTCAGCGAGGCGAGGCACGCCTTAAGGCGGGCCTCACTTAAGATGAGGCGTAAGCCTCATAAAATAAGCTCGAGGCGTAAGCCTTAAGGCGTTTTTTAATGAGATTGCGCTGAGGCGAGCCTCATATTGCGCAATTTTAAACAATTTGTTTAGCAGCAAGGAGTTGAGGGCAGTTTTGGTTGTCAATTGCAGTGATTTCTGCGAAGCATTTGACGTAGTAGGCAAATTTGGTCAACTCTTCGGCACAAGTTCCGATGAAACAGGTAATATCACTCAAACCAACAAAAACAGGTCATACTGTTCCCTTTCGACCACAATTCATAAAAAAACCAGCTGCAACAGCTGATTTCAACTGATTTTCCCTTGGTTTTACCCTCCATTTTGGAGAACTATGGAAAAAGATTGAAGGGTACTGGGATGAATGCTCTTTGAGAGTGAACGACAATCAGACATTGAGAGTAAGCCGGTTTGGTCTCATACTGCTCAAAGTCACACATATTTGGATAGAAGGTAATGATGTAATTGTTAATTAGGTAGCCATGATCCCTCTGTATAGTATAAAAGATTTGATAGATTTGGATAGACCATGGGTCTTGGGGGAGATTTCCATCAATGACTCCAATGGGGTGTGTTATTGTTGGAAAGTTGTAATAAATCCTCATTATTGGATATGTTCTCCATTTTTTCACCTATTTGATTCATCAGATATTAAAAAAAAAACTTTTCCCCTCAACATAATATCAGGCAAGGAGAACCTTACCGTAGCTTCCTCTATAAAATCCCACTCTAAATCTCGCCTAGCCTCTATTCCAAATCCCTCCCTCTCTTTATAATCTATTCAAGCTCAATTAATGAAGGACTTTACTAACATTTCCACTTCTATCCCGCAAGTTCTTCATATCATTAAGTCTTAAGATTATTCGTATAGTCATGTTTGGCTTGCATTTAATTGGTGATTTCTCTGTTGGACAACCTAACCCGTTTCATATTCTTATTAATTTATTTTAATAAGTTTATTATTCTAGTTTGAGTGTTTTTCCTTGACTTTTTGTTCGCTACTTTAACCGTTCCATTATATATTCTCTTGGATATAATTTGGTAAACCTTTACAGTGGGACTTTGCTACTACAAGGTTCTCAGCTGGATTAGGGGTTCTGGTTGAAACTAATGTTACTATTCCTTTGAAAAAAGGAGTTTAGAATTGACTTCTCTTCAACTGGTAATTGACAAAATGCTGAATTTTACGGAACACCTCCATATTATTCATCTTGAAATATTTTTTGTTACAAATTGCTTCAAGATTCATCCTGAACTTAGAAAATCATCTTCTATAAATTCAAACATTTAGGATAATAGGAATAATATAAATGATCAGAGCATACCTACAAAGATGATGGTCACAGTTCCTCCAACTTCAGATTTGGATTGTACTCAAATTTTGGTACCTACTCTAGATCTTGCCATGGATTGTGAGCCTTCTCATGTGATGATGCATCTACCCTATGTATCAAGGTTATGGGAGGATCTTCCTCTTCAAATATTAACATAAATTTAGATTTACCAATTATGATAGCGTATGCTCATCTTGATAATAAGTTGTTAAGGATGCTATTGACCCAAGATCTACTCGATCATAAGATTATGCTGGTATTCTTCGTGGCAATTGATAATCATAAGAAACAGGAATAAGTAAAACTAGTTTCACTTTATTCACCAAGGTTAACTAAACTTTCAAGTAACACGCAATAATTTATCTCATGAATTTGGTATTCTTGACTTACTGTTTAGTTAATGGGGTTACTCTCTATCTCTAAGATGAATACTTTACTATCAGATTATCTTTGATTTTGTATTTTGGTTAATATTTCATCTTCTAACACTTCTTCGCACTTGCTTCATGTTATACCCACCTCATTGCTGGTTGTAATACCTGTTTTTATATAAAAAAAGATTTTCTAAATCCTGAATCAAAATTTATTGTCTAAACTAACTTAAATGTCATTCACAACATATAAGCATCACCAAGATCTAGCATGATTATTATCACATGCACCCAAAATTTTATCATTAACTTAAAGAGCTATAGTATAATAAGGTGTATATGAAACGATGATTCCCTTGGCCACTTGCAACTGTGAAACAATAATGTGCAACTGAGTACCTTTCTTTCAACATGCAAATATTCCTGCTCAAGGACTTCCCGTGAATTTGATTCTAGTAAAACCTTGGTGAACGCACTAGACGCCTCATCTTCCCTGCAATAGAATCATAGTGAGAGTTCACCACGGCCTCCCTAATTCAATAAATGAATATTTTGAAAAGAATAATTAGATTACCTTTCATTGAAATTCTTTAAGTTGTCAACAAGTGCCTTCATAAGGTTCACAGAGACTCCCAGATCATTCTGTAGGATACGAAGGGTACAACATTTATGACATGACGAAAATTGAAGTTGATAATGAAGAAGATAGTTCATAAAAACTATGACATGTAGGCAGCAATAAATTTCAGAGTTTCAAATATTTTACATCAAATTGTTAGAAGAATCATTACCTTGCATGCCAATAGATGATGCTTAATTAGCTTCACAAGAAATGTTCCATATTTCTCCAACTCATGGCTTTAAAATAAAAAATCACATTCATTGGAATTTCATAAGCAAGAAAAAAACTTAGTGACAATGAGAAAAATTTAGAAGGATCTGATGGTTGTTAGCCTTTAATGTCAAGGACACATACTTTGTCTGCTTCTCTTTCTGGCTCGAATAAGATGACTGGAGATGCCAGGTATCTTCTAAGAAATCAATCCATGTACGGATTATATGCGCTTCTAATTTATATGAAGCAACAGATCTTGAAAGCTCGTCTTCCTATACATCATACCATTTGTTTAAAGAAGCACCATCATTCTTTATTCAATGAAGTGTAGCAAAGGAAGAAGATGCCAAACCTTTGCCTTAAAGTGTAGAATGATCTCATTGTTTGCTTCATCAAAGTAGTTCCTCTCTTCCCTGTGCTTGTGAAGGCGAAGGAGAGCAGCCTTTAAAGAAATAGTTACCTAGATTGACTCATTTTAATTCAACTATAATAGAATAAATTATTAAATTCAAATTTAAATAACTTGGACAATATAAAGAAACGCCCGCTGGGTTGTGAACATTTTGTCATTTAACAGGTGATAGAACTGTCTATTCATATTCATTCATAAATCTCATTCAACAATCAAAATTTTGAAACATATACAGTATAATAAATCAGATATCCACGGCTCTCCAATTTCTGAGTTGAATTTTGTCAATACAAAAGGCATGATGATTTTTACAAATAGCCCAAAAAAAGGCGGCATAATTATAATACGCATTAACAGCACAAAAGTTTGAATGCATCTGACATAAACAGCCATAATATGCGAGGAAAAAGTAGCGTGTAGCAATATAACATGCATGATAACTAATGAAAATCATTAAAGGGTCGTGAAACCTCTAAGTCAACCAATTTTGATAAGAATCATTGAGCACACGGATTAAGGTTTTAACTATTGGATCGATCTTCTAAAGGTCATTAGATGTGTAAATTCTCTTCCTATTTTAGCTGCCGGACCATCTTGAGATTTTTTTTTCCTTTTTTATGTAAATAGATTTGATTTGTCTTTTATGAGCCTTTTAGAGAAATCCATAACTTTAGCACTTTGTACAGCATTAAGAAAGTAATTTTTTTTTACTTTTCTATTTTTCTATAAGGTATTAGAGTGAGGCTAGGGTTTTCGTCTTTCAATCTTTGTTCTTTTTTATTTTTCCCTTCTTGTTGAGATTCTTCTTCTCTTCATTATGAGTGATTCCTTTGACTTCTCTTCCAAGGAGTCAATCATCATGAATGGTGAAAATTAGACTAAAAGAGAACTCCATTGGCAAATTGTGAGAGCTTTCTAAAAGGAAAGAAGAAGATACCATCATTTTTTCTATCCTCATTGGAAGCAGAAAGAGCTCAAATTTATACTTTTGAATGAAGCAAATTCAAGAAAAGAAATTTAAAATATCATCAAATAAATATACTCAAAAGTAAAGGATGCCGCCACCATTTACAAGATCAAAATTAAAATTTCAATAACCAAGCAAAATATCCTTTCTATATTGAGTTCCTTAATACAATAAAGGTTTATTGTCTTGAACTTGATTACTACCAATATCTCAAAATGAAATGCTATTATGATGTGGGAAGGGAATTCTCAAGTAATTTGTAGAAAGGGAAAAGATGTTCGAGTACCTTGTATAACTCAACAATGACTTTGACAAAGTTCATGTACAAATCTTAAGTTGAAACACTCTACCATCAATAAATGAAGTTTTTTTCTTTTCATATATGAGTCAAAGAAGGAAGAATGATGGTAATGCTCAATGCTTTGGTCTACAAAACATTTTCCATGACAACCATCCAAAACCCTAAGGTAAGTACTGCTATAGATTCTTTCCTTAAAGAAAGGAGAAATCCCTCTTCTAAAAGCAATATATGGTGCAACTACGAAGAAAATATACAACAACAACAACGGTTGAATCCAAAAAAAAAAAAATTAATATACTCATGTATTTATCAACCCTTTGGAAAAGCCATATGGAACATATTCTTTAGCTCAAAATGATACGACTTCTAACTCTTTTATCTTCAGTGTCTGAAATAAATTCTATTACACTTGAATCCTAGATTTAAGAGCCATTAATCATATGAACAACCTTGTAAACCTTTTTCAAGCCTATAAACTATTTCAACAATAGAAAAATAAAGTGGCCGATGAATCTCTAACTACTATTGCAAATCAAGAAAATATTAATTTCCTCCACATTTTCTCTTAATAATGTACTACAAGTTACACATTTTGTAATAAATTTTCTATCAATCCATAAAATCACTAAAAATCACAACTGCAAAGTAATTTTTTAGCTATTCATGTGTATTTTAGTATCTCACTATGTGGAAGACGATTAATCAAGCCAAAGAAAATAATGAACTATGACTTCTTGAAGACGAAAATCACTTACTATATTCTTTTATTCCGACCATCAGTATAAAAGCTATTTGGCAATATCGTTATAGGTTAGGGCATCCCTCTTTCAAAAATATGTTTCTTTCTCTTTTCTTAAATGTAAATATGAAAAATTTTATTGTAAGACTTATAAAATTGCCAAATATAATCATGTTATTTTTTGAAAAAGTTATTCATACCCTCTTACTCATTTTCTAATTATTCACTTTGATATTTTGGTATCTTCCCAGATCTCAAGATTGAGAATTTTGAGGTTATAGGATTTATCACCTGCACTGATGATTGCACTCGGATGACATGAGTTGTCTTATAAAATAAAAATCTAATAATGTCAGTATTATCCTCCACATTTTAAATGTCATAGAACAAAAATAATTCAATACTAGCATAACGGAATTTTGGATTGATAATGTGTGTGATTACTTAATCACACATTATCATTTTTCTTCAAAAAAGAATATATTATCCATCTATCATCCTATCCTGACACAGCTCCAACAAAATGGTGGCAAAAATACAAAAATTGTGATATTCTAAAAATAATTAGGACTCTTCTCTTCCATAAACAAATGCAAAAAAAATACCAGCGAGAAACAGTCATAACTATCATGTACATTATTGACAGAATAAGCTCAAAAGTGACGGACATCAAAAGTCCTGTAACTTATATAGCTTAATTCTTTCCCATGAATAACTTTTTTGAAAAATTCACAAAAAAAAACTTTAAATGCATTGCCTAAGTCCACTTCCAAAAATAACATATGGATAAACATAATCTTAGAGCTCTCAAATATGCAGTTACCAGGTATTCCTCCACTCGAAAAAGATATAAATGTTATCATCTTACCTCTGAAAAAATCACACTTACAAGATCACTGAAATAGCAAAAGGGAATACAATGATAAGATGAAAATAATTCTTTCTTGTTAAGAATAGCGCAGATGGTTGCCTGGAATGGTGTAAAGCAAGGTTGATACCAAAGGATATATTTAATCTTATGGAATTGACTTGCAAGAAACTTTTATTCCAATTACAAAAATGAATACAATACACAACTTAGTTTGTTTACAACCAATCGTAGATGGTTGACATATCAGCATAAAGTAAAAAAATGTTTTTCTACATGAGGATGTTTAAGAAGAAATCTATATGAATCTACGAACAGAATTTGATAATTCTTTCTCAAAGAATAAAGTGTGCAAATTATAAAAGGATCTTTATGACCTTAAATAATCTTCAACAGTATGTTTTGACAGATTTACAAAAGTCATGAATGAAGCTGGATATAAATAAAACCAAAGAGAACATAATCTCTTCATAAAATACTCCATTGCTATTAATATGCTAATTCTCATAGTATATACTGACAATATAATTGTCAAAACAGATGATAACAGAGAAAATAAAATCTCTCAGAAAAAAGCTTCCTAAGGAATTTGAGATCAAACAGTTATAGCAAGTAAAATTCTTGAAAGGAATAAAAGTTGCTCAATCAAAATAATGGATATTTCTCTTTAAAAAAAATAAGAATCTACTAAAAGAGAAAAAAATTACTGATTGCAAACTGTAAAACCTTAACTGAATCAGGTAAAAAATTAGACACGGAAGAAGAAAAAATAGACATGGGACAATATCAAATATTAGTTGAAAAAAATGATCTATCTTAAGCACGTCTAGACATCACATTTGCGATAAGTCTCATCAGTCAATTCATACACAAACTCAAAGAGTCTAAACTTCAAGTTGTTTATAGAATCCTAAGATATCTTAAATCAAAACCCGATAAAAGAATCCTATATACAAAACCAGATACTATACAACTTAAAAGGTATATTGATGCAAAATATGTTGGATCACAAGTGGATAAAAGATTCACAAATGGATATTATACATTTTTGAGAAAAAAACTCATAACATGGAGGAGCAATAAATATGTTGCTAGATTTAGCATTGCATCTGAATTGAGAGCCATTGTTCAAAGAATCTACAATCGTGGGACTCATAAGTGAATCAATCTTGATAAGGATCCTTAAGCACACATATTAAGGGTTCTAACCATCAGATCGATCTTATGATCCTTAGATTGCAATCTAGGTACCTCCTTTTCCTATCCTAACTATCAACCTTCTTGAGATTTTTTTTTCTTTTCATAAATAACTTTGATTTATTTTTATTATAAGCTTTTTGGAGAAAAGTTTATAAATACTTCTATAACTTATATAGGCCAAACAATAATTTTCAAAGTAATTTTTTCTAATATTCTGCTACAAAATTCACAATAAGAAGAGCCATAAAGCCTTCTTTTCTTAAGTTCGTAATTTAATCTACCACTCATACACAATCCTTATGTCTGCTATCATTTTTTTAAGAAAAGAAAAAAACATCTTACTGTGAAAGAAAATATACCTTATTTAATTGAGCTTCAAGTTCATCTTTTTGTTTCTCAAGCCCGGAAATCTCTGCTATCAATCCCTAAAGACAATCCAATAAGAATATCTCACTGATATCAGGTTGAGAGAACAGAAACTTCACATCCTGAGTAAGACAGGTAAATATATGATATCTAGCCTAATATGAATAAGACATACCAAAATAAAGCAAAAACATAAAACTTTACCACCTTATACTATGAAAATATCCATAGCTTAGTCCTTTGATTTACAATTTTGAGACCAAGCATGTTCAACCAAAAAAATCGATAAATTCAGAGATTAAAGAATGAGATCAGCAGAGAATTGCAACTTGTAGTAGTTATAAGTTAGAACATATATTTGAAAATAGGGATGAAATACCAGAAATATGTTCACAGCGAGCAAGTCCAAATGAACGAGCACAAAAATGCAACTCATATGGATGTAAGTAAGGTCCATGTAGTTTTCGAAAGCGATTGCCTTCTATTTTGTTTTTGAAGAACATGATAGCACAGAATTCAACAAAACAGATACACAAAAAACTTACGAAAATTATCAGGAAGCTAGGGAAGATGATCAAGTGAAAACCAGTATATGATCCTCCAGTATGAAAAAATAAAACATATGTAATTTTGTTTGCCACATAAGTTATTACCAACTGAAGCCAAAGTGAAAGTTCATAAGGGCGAAGACCTTGTCATTGTTAGCATTTTGAATACAGATAGATATCAGGAATGAACTTCCTAGGCTTGATTTCAATTTGCAAACAAAATTTCTGATTACAGCAAATTCTCTGTTGAAAAAATAAAAATAACACAAAGGTATAGTTTAAAAATAAAAATAGATAAGTCTCAGGAAGCCATTGGGCTTAGAAGTTTGATGGATCAGCTGTGCCAGTCCAGCCAATCAACCCGGCCCCAACAACGGGGGCCGATCTAGCTGGCAGGAATGGAGGAGCCCTGTGGGCCTCACTAGTGTGTGTGGTGCGCAAGTAGAGAGGGGGCTTAAATTGGGAGGGAATTATGAAGGTTTATTTAGAGAAAGAGGGCTGATTTGAATTCACATTTGAGAGGGAATTATAAAGGTTTATTTAGGAAAAGAGAGTTGATTTGAATTCACATTTTGGAGAGAATTAAAAACATTTATTTAGGGAAAGAGGCTGAATTAAATTTAGATTTGTGAGGGAATTATGAAGGCTTATTTAAAGAAAGCGGGCCGATTTGAATTTAGAATTGGGAGGGAATTAGGAAGACTTATTTAAGATTAATTAGCTTATTTTATTTTCATTATATGATTTGTGTTTTTACTGTAGTTCTCTTTGGAGTTATTCCTAGCGGCGCCTAGGGTTTGGAAGAGTCGATCTATCTCTCGAATAGATCCGATATTTTAGATTTAGAGATTGGATATTTTAGTCTACCGTCCGACCTCCGTTCCCGCCTCGCCTATGCGAGCTTACCGGGCCAGGTCGTGACAAAAGTGGTATTAGAGCAAAGGGTTTAAGAATATTGATCAATATTAAAGAGCCAATAGGATGATTCTATAGGTTAGAGAAGGAATAGGGCATGTGTTATAGACTACTAATTTTATTTTATCATATTATATCTCAGAGCCACTGATCCTGAAAACGATGCCACTGATGGCACTACGAGAGATATTAGGAGGGAGATACCAGTCGTAACAGAACCTTCAAGTAGTAGTATCAATGCTACTATGGAATCATTTATGCAAATGATGACAGCAATGACCCACATGATTAAGAACACAGACACAGGTTGGTGGTAGTGGAAGCTCTCCAATGGATAAAAATTTAAAGAAGTTACAAGATATGAAGCCTCCGATGTTTTCAAGTGGTGGACCAATAGAGGCACAAGATTGGGTGATGAGGATAGAGAAGATTCTAGAGGGTATGTCCTGCCCTGAAGATAGAAGAGTTACTCTCGCTGTTTTTGCCTTTGATGGTGAGGCAGAAAAGTGGTGGCAAAGCCAGCTACAAGAGACTTTTGGAGGGTGAACCAGCAGTTAAGTCTCATGGGGAGAGTTTCTAAAAGTGCTCCGAGATTGGTATGTACCCATGTTAGCTAGAAAGATGCAAGATAAATTCAGCAGATTGGTATAGGGTCATATAACTATTACTCAGTATAAGGCCAAGTTCACTAGACTTTCCAGATATGCCTCACATTTGATATCCAATGCAGAAGAGAAATGCCATCGTTTCTTATCTGGTTTGAAGGATGTCATTAGATAACCTTTGATTCCTTTTGACAGTGAGGATTATTTTACTATGATATAGAGGGCCTGAATGATTGAATCAGATTTGCAAGCTACTTAGAAGAGAAGGGATCAACATAAAAGGAAGAGTTTTGAAGAAGATATTCAAAGTAATCAGACTGAGGGACCAAATGAGAAGAAGCCCAAGTTTAGTCCTAGTGGAGTCGGTGGTGCAACTGTAAGTAAAATCACGAAAGCTTGTGCTAAGTGTGGCAAATTGCATAAGGGTGAAACTTTGATTGGTTCCAACAATTGCTATTGATGTCATCAGCTTCGATAAATAGTAAAATATTGTCCTGCATTGGTTCAGAAGACTTCAGGAGAAATGAGATCAAGTGAAGTACCTTCACGGAGGAACTTTGTAAAACAAAAGATGAAAAAACCATCAGTTACAGGTTCAATGCAAAATCAATCCAGACAGAATGTTCGACCACAGGTTTACACTTTGACTCAGCAGGAGCCCAATAAATCCATAAATTTTGGCAACGATAATTGATATGGCTTTATTGTCTTTTTTTGTGACTTGTAATGTTAAATATGATGTTTTGGATTTAGTAGGTTATCTTGTTATGTTATGTCAGATATTTTGGGTTGATCAGATTATTTTGTTATGATATATCAGATATTTAGTTTATTATGTTATAATATTGAAGTTTATGTGAAATGGAATGGAAGATGTTGGTCGATTGTAGAACTAGAAGTTGTAGGTAAATTTCGAGAACGAAATTTTTTATTAGGATAGGAGAATTGTAAAATCTAAAAAAATGCCATTTTAATCATCGCAAGCTTTTCAATGCGTCGCGACAAAATTTAAGTGAATTTTTCAAAGTCGTGGGAGTTTAATGAAAATAATTTTATAAAATTCTACGCAAAATTCCGAGCAAATTGATATAAATAACCTATATGAAATTTTGATTAGTTTGGGAATTAAAAATCGGCGAAGTTTTTAAAATTTTCAATTATGACTAAAATGCCCTTAATGATATTAAAGATAAAATAAGTTATGAGAGGGAAATTAGGACTTTTTGTTTTTCTGTATATTCGCCTACTCATAAGGGGACTGAAACTTATTTGGTCCCAATTTGTTTTGTTCGGTTGAAACAAAACGAGCGGACGGAGGAGGGCGACGGGGAGGCTTCGGCGACGGTGGTAGGGCGGTTTCCGGCGGAACTTCTTGGGAGAAATCAAAGAAGGAAATCAAGGGAAGACTAAGATACACTTCTAAACCTGTAAATCTTTTATTTCCCCTTCAGATTTTTGGAGGTGAAAATTTTAGGGTTTCTCCAAAACTTGATGTTTTTTAAAAAGAATGTTAGGGAAGATTTAAAAACATTTTCTAATTATGAAATTGTATTTTCCTCCATAAATCTTCAAGTTCAAAATTTAGGATTTTTGTCGAATGTTAATTTTTATGGAAAGTTCTTAACATGTATTATCCCAAATGATCGTATGGGGGTTTTTAATGATAGAAATTAGGGTTTTTCAAGAAAATTTTATTTTCCTAATTTTATTTTAAGAAAAATCCGAAAATAGAAATTATTTTAAATTAATTTAGGGTTTGGTGAATGTCTAATTTTGGATAAATTGGGGCTTTTAGATGAAAATGATATATGTTTAAGATTAAGGATGGTTAAATTCTAAAATTATAATAAAAATATAATTTTGTTAAATGATTAGGCAAATTAAATTCATATGTTTGTAGATATGAAAATTAAAGAGAGAGGAGAGAGAGAGAACTTAGAGTGGTTTAAAATGAGAAAAAGAATTTTAATTTAGATTTATTTTGTAGATTTTTTAAGGAGAAATTAATGTTCATAGGTGATAATCGCGGACCTCGAAGGAAGACGTTCGAGCGGAGAAATCAAATCAAATTCTTTAAATCGAAGTGAGTACTCATGATTCTTTATTACAGTGATATCTTTGTTTCTCTCTAATTATATGTTTTGAAAGTCCAAGCATGTTTATAAAATTTTTATGGTTATCTTAATTATGTTATTTTTATCTTATGATTAATCATACGATTTATATGTTATACTTCATGGTATTATCACATAAAGTTCATATGTTATAGAAATGATATGATATGATTGTTATAGAATGCTTACATGTGCATGCTGAATTGATGGAGCTCACCCCCTTATGGTATTAGCTGGAGATGTTGTACTCGTGCACGTTAAAATTGTAAAGGTTATGGAAAAAGAAATAGTAATGAAGCACCTTTATGTTACTAGACGATGATTCCTATGACGGTTGTACTATATATGAAATGAGAAAGTTATGAATATTGATATGATGAACGAAAAATGAATATAAAAGGATATGAATTTATGATTTATGCGTATGTTTAATGTTATGTTTATAGGAAGAAAATTTTATGAAATGTTTAAATGAAATGTGACATCTAGCATTTTACTCATTATGCCTTGAATTATTGTAGTTTAGAGGCATGTTTTACTTACTAAGCATTAGCTTACTGTTAGTTGTTTAATAATTTTTCAAGTATAATTATTTTAATCATAATGAGTAGAAGGGGTGGAAACGTGTATCGTAGAAGAGGCACGCCGGAAGAAATGTAACTATATGAATTTTAATGATTTTATGTTTTCGAATTTAATATTTTTAGTGGCTCTTTCAAATGTTATAAAGATAGATTTAGAGATTGGATATTTTATTCTACCGTCCGACCTCCGTTCCCGCCTCGCCTATGCAAGTTTACCGGGCCGGGTCGAGACACTTGGATTGCGATGCCGACATAAAAATCAATTAGCCCATAATCTCATTCTTTCTCGCTGATTTCTACTACGTTTTCTCTTCGTTATTGTTGTTTTTGCTGTATGGAAATCGGATTCCAATCAAAGTTGTATGAATTTCATTGTTTTGATACCAATCAGAGTAGTTGTTAATAATTTGTGAGCTTAAATTATCTTAGTGGCATTCTTTCTAAAGTAATTTCCAAAAAAAAAAAAAACAAAGTAAGCCTTACCAAATTGAGTTTGGAAATATGCTGTTAAGATATTGAAAACAATCTGACCTCTTTTACTACATTGTAGGTGCCTAAATATAGGAAAACATAGTAGATGATAAAAAATAAAGAATATTGTCAATTAAGAGTATACATTATAGAATAAAGAACAAAATATTGAGTTATTAATAATTTCCAATTTATTAAAATCTCTAAAGACAACATTCTTCTCAAGCAAGAGGATATATATCATGAATATCTAGCTTGCTGCAAAGATAGGAGAAACGGAGTTGTCCTAGAGCCTTTGTAAACTATATGCCTGTTGGCCCCAATACACAAAACTACATGCAAAGCGAGATAAATAGATGAATCAAGTAGTGCGCGTCAACATGACACACCACTTGAAAGGTCAAACGACCTCCGATTGCTGAACATACTATGTCGTTGCAATCAGGACATCGAATTTGTCTAAGTCGAGACTCCTCGCAGTCAAATCGGACGAGATCGGTCCAAAGAGATGACCAACAACCAAAATTAACGCACGACATCGCCCAAACGATGTCCGATAGCAGAACAGACATCGCCATTGCGTCCAAAACGTCGTCGACATTCAAAAACTATATTTTATTCGTTCAAATGAGATCATCCAAGGTGGTGGAAAAAATCCCAAAGCGACAACGCACAAAATGAGTAAATCAGCGCGCGACGACACCCAAATGACATTCGATCGCATAACAAACTTCGCCGTTGCGCTTGACAAGCCCCCAATACCAAAAAATGACAGTGAATTAGATCAATTAAAAGACGTGATGCACGTAAATCGAGGAAAATAGTGCGTGACGCTGCCCAAATGACATTTGATTGCAAAATAAACTTCGTCGTTGCGTTCAAAACGTTGTCAATACTCAAGATTGACAACCAATTTGCTTAATTAAAAATCGCAGAACGAAATCAACGCGTGTATCGAAGCAATGAAGCACAAATCGAGGAAATTAGTGCACCATATTGCCCAAACGACATCGGATCGTGCAACGGTGGATCGAAAAACGGGCTTCGTCGTTGTGTTCGGAACGTCGGCAATACCCTAATACACTATCAATTTTCCCAATTAGAAATTGCACGGTAAAATCAAAGCGCAAAACAAAGCCAAAGACATGAATTTTGGGGTCGCACCCAAATCAAGACGTTTTGGAATGGCTTTCATTTCTATCACTTCAAAATTTAATAATAATTGTAATAAAATATCAAATGGTGACTTAAATATAATTGATTACATTATTAAGTTATTAACTTGTTATTTTAGTTTATATTACAATGAATCCAATGTTAATTAATATGGGGAATTAAAAAAATGTTATAATTGAAGAATGTTTAGAAGATGACAATGAGATAGAGTTCAAGGATGTTTTAATTATTACATATGAGAGTTATTATAAAGAATATGAAAGTAAGGATGAGATCATCGTAGATCATGATCTTTATGTTGTATTAAAATTTTAAATTAGTGCTTACTTTGAACTTGATTTCAAACTTTCATTTTATAATAACATTTAATATTGAGATTTGTAGTATATATCTTTATGATAATGAATCAAATAAATATGTTGATGGTTTATTTTATTTTTGTCATTTTATGAATTATTTGTAAGTTCATATTTTTTTTCTATTTTGAGACTTACGTCTTAATCAACATCGAGGCTTATGCCTCGCCTCGCTAGGGCAAAACATTTTAATTCCTAATTTCATCTTTTTAAACCTTGGATGCCTAAGTATGGGCAAATATAGGATATGAAATAGAAAGAAAAATAAAAGGGAGAATATCTTCAAGTATAAGGATATATTATAGAATAAATAACAAAATATTGAGTAATTAAACACTTCCAAACTGGTAAAGCTCTACGATAACAAATGCAAAAAACGCAAATGATGACGGCAATGACCCAAATGATTAAGAACACTCAGACCTAGGTTGGAGGTAGTGGACGCTCTCCAATGGATAAAAATTTAAAGAAGTTACAAGATATGAAGCCTCCGATGTTTTCAAGTGGTGGACCAATAGAGGCAGAAGATTGGGTGATGAGGATAGAGAAGATTCTAGAGGGTATGTCCTGCCCTGAAGATAGAAGAGTTACTCTCGCTGTTTTTGCCTTTGATGGTGAGGCAGAAAGGTGGTGGCGAAGCCAGCTACAAGAGACTTTTGGAGGGTGAACCAGCAGTTAAGTCTCATGAGGAGAGTTTCTAAAAGTGTTCCGAGATTGGTATGTACCCATGTTAGCTAGAAAGTTGCAAGATAAATTCAGCAGATTGGTATAGGGTGATATAACTATTACTCAGTATAAGGCCAAGTTCACTAGACTTTCCAGATATTCCTCACATCTGATATCCAATGCAGAAGAGAAATGCCAACGTTTCTTATCTGGTTTGAAGGATGTCATTAGATAACCTTTGATTCCTTTTGACAGTGAGGATTATTTTACTATGATATAGAGGGCCTGAATGATTGAATCAGATTTGCAAGCTACTCAGAAGAGAAGGGATCAACATAAAAAGGAAGAGTTTTGAAGAGGATATTCAAAGCAATCAGACTGAGGGACCAAATGGGAAGAAGCCCAAGTTTAGTCCTAGTGGAGTCGGTGTTGCAACTGTAAGTAAAATCACGAAAGCTTGTGCTAAGTGTAGCAAATTGCATAAGGGTGAAACTTTGATTGGTTCCAACAATTGCTATTGATGTCATCAGCTTGGATACATAGTAAAATATTGTCCTGCATTGGTTTAGAAGACTTCAGGAGAAATGAGATCAAGTGAAGCACCTTCACGGAGGAACTTTGTAAAACAAAAGATGATAACTTCAAGCGCGTGCTCGAGCTCGAACCGTGACTCGAGAGCTCGACGAGCTTTTTCTTTAGATGTCGAGTCGAGCTCGAGCTAGACTTTTGAGCTCGACTCGAGTTCGAGCTCGAGCTCGAGCTCGACATTTGACAGACGAGCTCGGCTCGAACAACCCTTGACTCGAGCTCGACTCGACTCGTTTGCACCCCTAACCATGCATATGGACAAGATAATCAAAAAGTATTTGCTCTTAAAATCTTAAGGTGTGAGAAAATACTATTATCTAGTTATTTTGTATGGCTAAAACTAGAACAAGTGAGACTTACTGATACATGAATGACACAAGAAAATGCATTAATGCACATGAACATGTTAACCTGGAAAATTGTGAATCCGTATGCATAACGCTAAGGAAAAGTTGATTTGCTTGTGTCAATTAAGCTACCTCTTCAGTCTCATTAACTTCACTGGTTTTTGCCATACGAAAGTTGAGAGCATCTTCTAGCTGATGCCTGCTTTAAGTGTGGATGAAAAAAAAAAAAGTAAAGACGCATACTAATAATTTCCCAAAGAAAATTAAACAATGCAAGGAGAAAAATGAACCACAAATATCTAGCAAAATAAAACCACATTCAACAATGAAGTCACTAAGGCCTTCAAAAGTATTGAGAGTATGATGCATAGAAAGAATGCATAAACTAACAAAGAAAATATGAGAAGCCTGAAAAGTCAGACAATAGCATGTTGACCAAAAGCCAGTAAATTAGGCTATTTGTGCAGGTGATTTTACATCAGTAGAATAAAAATGTATCATAATCAGTGCATAGCAAGTTCGAAAAATGCAGATAAGGAAGCTAAGAGCCAGCATACAGTACAAAAACCGTGCAGAACAAAGGTTCATGAATTTGAAAAAGAATTATTACATTATAGAGAACTAACTTCTTCATTAGGACAATGCTTGGAACTGGAAATGGATTTTGCACACCAATAAAGTCCATTTTGGGCAAAGCATCTTAAATAAAATCTCCAGCGAACTCCTTAATTTCCAAGAGGATGGGCAAAAAGAAAGGTGCTTTTCATGGAAAAGAGTTCAAAAAGCCACTGTTAGCATCACATGCTCTATTGCTCCGCTAATGGGGGGAAGGTATGGACGTTGATTTGTGGAGAGCAACCTAATTGTATACTAAGGTCCAAGTGCATTTTTCATACACGACCATCCAGAAGTATGAAATGGGAACCAATCCTGATTAGCTAGAAATATTGTTCTCGAACTTACAAAGATTGTTAAGTTCAATTCCCAATAAATCAATCACATTTACCCTTATAAGTTCTCTCACATTTTCTCATAGTAAAAATTATTACAAATAGAACCCACAAGAGATTTTATTATTACTAGCAGACATAAAAGTGGCTCCATAAAGTTACCGCTGTCACATTATAATTTCCATTATTGTAGTTTCAACTAGATGCATCACGTTTGAAGAGTTCTACTTAAACAAGAGTAAAGCCCTAATGTAGTCCAAATGCATCCACATCTTTCTCCAAAATCAGCATTCAAAAGAGAAGAAATAACATTATCGCTTATTTGGATCCAAAATATTCTGAGAAAGAAATACACAGGGATCACCTCTGATCTGAAATACGTGTTTCAGCCTTCAAAGATGAGTTCGCAAGAGATTCTGCTAGAACTTTTAATTTGCCAATCTGCAAGTTTAGTGCAACAATATCAACCAAAACCCAAGGAATTAAAATAATTATTTGCCATGAGAATAAGTGATGACCAAGAAAGGGTTTAGTACTACTATGAAGCTTATGAGAAAAGACGCAGAAAATCCAAAAGAAAATCATGTTTGATAGTATCTGCAGGTTATCAAATGAAAATAAAAAATGAAAAAGGAGAAAATATGTTTTTTTTTTTTTTTTTCATCTGTTGGAATTGTTTTAACCTAACCTGGACCTGTTAGGTCAAAATTTCTCATGTGACCGGCGCACCACATGCAACTCCACTCTTCGCACAAGCTGAATTAGCCAAACCTTTGCGTCCTTCACATGTGAGCAGGATAAGCGACCTCCCCAACCCACGACTCTCTCTCCAATTGCATGAATCATGGGATTTGACAGCCTGGTGCGAATCACCGGCCTTGGCTGCCTTTCTCTATCCATTTAAGGCAAATGTGTAGCTATGGCATCGCTTTAATGTTCCTATCATATGGTTCTCATAGTCGTTGAGTCTCTTGCGCTCAAATTCTTAGTTCTCTCCAACTAGTTAGTGGTTTTCTTGTTCATGCTCTATTGCTCATTATTTTTTCTTATATGTTTCGTATTGGTTGTTGTTTGTCCTAATAGTGTCCCACTAAACAAGCTTCTTCTCGAGAATGCTTCTTGATATATCATCTACATGCTTCTTGTGTTTCATATTCACAATCGTACTTTCTTCACATGCCTCAACCTCTCAATCTATAGCTAATCTCTCAATATCAAGAATTTTTTATTTTAAATATTCATTCATCACTTTATTCTTTATATCTCCAATCTTTTTTCTTATTGCATTCAAATAGCTAAAAAATATTTTAGTTAATGGATTATCATATTTATTTAAAATTAAAATATAATTTAGTTTAAGTTTGATCAATTAAATAACTACTGAATGCATATAAGATATGAATATATGATATGCATGTCATGAGCGTATCAAAGTAAAGTGATACTTCATGTTGTGATTTATGCATCAAAGCAAAAAAGAAACTCTTGTGCATCATATTGTGCTTAAAGTTTTGAAAACACTAGGTGCACCAAGTCAATTCTAGCTATTGTGGATCAAGCGAGTGCAAACTTGAGTCGAGTCACTTGGGCCAAAAAGACGGAACTTGCTCGAATAACTTTGCAACTACAACTCTCCAACAAGAAATTGTCCTGAATTGTTCAATAATAATCATCCATAATAAATCACTCGCACAATAACTAAGCTCAAACAACTCTCATCTTCAATAGTATTCAATCGACGATACTAAACAACCAAACTCAAACAGTTCATACTCACAAGTCATATATGCCCAACGAAACTAAGCAACCAAGAGTCTAGTAGCACTTAATTAAAATACTTGTCCGCCTCCTCTTGTAGATTTTGTCCGATGCACTCACTAAGATGAGTTTGTTTTCTTGGTAGTCACACAATCGACCATAACAAATGACCAACTACCTTTGTAACAGGTTAAATCATATGTGTAGCCCATCCAATAGAGTCAACTTTAGCCCTCATCTATAAATATAAGGTGAAGTGTCAAATGTGATGCACAAGACCACTCTTTGAATGCATGAAATACTATCATGGAGTGTTAAGCCCTATGTAACAATTCACATGAGAAAATAAATAGATTTGAACTGCTCTTATTGACCTTCTATCTAGCACTCTTTTCCATGTAGAACAAAATAATTTAACTAATTTCCATCGAACAAAATTGAATCAAACTTTTTCTTATTAGGGTTAATGTGTAGAGATGGTTCGAAGCTGGAATGAGACTATCATTGCCAATTAAGAACAAGAGACTATGCCTCAAAGTAAAATGCAAGTATATTTTATCACCACAAAACTAGTTATAGGAAGTGAAGGACCACCCTACGCAAATGATTAAGAACACCTTGGAGTGTTTCAAACAAGTTTTTCCTTTACTTAATAATCAATAATTTCACTAAAGAGCCTTCCATGCACTTCCTCATGCCCTCAACTTGCCAACTCAGGCTGAAATAACTCATCAGATCTGATGGAGAGTAAAATAAAGGCTGCAATCAAAAGGCCATATAAGCATGCCGCTCAACAACTAACACTCTCTTCAAATTGAAGAAGGGTTGCCTCACCCCAAGTTCAAGATGTCAGTCTTGGACTCTAGCAAAAGCAAGCCGACATAACTGGGCCTGACCAACCATACCTTCCACTTTAAATCAACCATTTTTTTCTGGGCAATCAGTGATGAGTTGAAGCGTAGCCTTCTATTTACGGATATGCTCGTTTCTTACTTATCTCTAAGGGTAAATCCACTCATCCACCTAAGCATCCTCATCTCAGCAAATCTCAACTTAATATTATGCTTCTCTTTTAATGACCAACATTTTATGCCATAAAGCATCGCAAGTCTCACCACCATCTTATAAAATTTTCCCTAAAGTTTGAGTGGTACTTTTCTATCACACAACAAACCCGAAGCATTCCTCCACTTCAGCCATCCAACTTGAATTCTACTAATAATATCTCCTCTTGATACCTTTCTGGAAGAAAACCGTCTAATGGTATCGATGAACTTCTGTGATGGATATAAAAATATGAATAGTGGGAAGATTTTGAATGATTCACACAGTTTGTACGAGCAAGAAGAAGTTTCAGCGACTCCTAATCTTTCTCATGGAAATGATAAGGTAACTAAACATAAGTTCAATTTGAAAATTTTAAGCTTATTTTATTATTTCTGTAAACTTTTAAACTCAAATTTTCCATGATTTTCTTTTTTAGCTGCTGGAAGCCATCAGAGATTTAAAGGTGCAAACTACTACATTAGCGAAACAGCAGGTTCCATATAAATTTTACTTTTCTACCTTCTTCTATTGAGGTTTTAACTTTTTATTTTATATTTTCCCTTTTCATCATTGATTTTTGTGATGTTACCTGTGCATTTTCTATGAAGGTGTTGTTTGATTTTGATAGGACACAAGTGCAGAAATTACCAAAACAATGGCTAAAATTAGGGATTTCAGCAAGAACAATGCAGGAATTTGAAGAAATTCCTTGGCAAATCAGTAAGAAAACTTAATAATAGAAAAATAGTGGAAGAAAACTAGCAAGATATAATGGATCTTCAATTTGAGAGGAAGAGCCGGCTCTCCCAATCCCTAGCTGACGGCTAGAGCCCAAGTACCTAAGATAAAAATCAATAAACAAATCGCATAAACCCACCCCCCCCCCCATTTAGAGAATACAAAATAAAAGTATAATTATTAAACAACCCTTCCTAAATTAATTTCTCTCTTAAACCGCCCCTTCCTATTTAAAAATTTTCATTAGATCATTGGCCTACATGGGGGCCAGCAGCTTCCTTGTCAGCCTGAAATAGAAGGGCCAGCCCTGTTTTAGGGCCGACTGGACTGGTCCACCTTGGACCGGTCTAACATATTTCAATGATATTTAAATCTTAATTTTAGTAGATGTCAGCATTACTTTTTAATTTTTACATAGTATGGCATCTAGATATACCCATTTATATACCACCAAAAATCAGATTGAAAATCATTTATTTGTTTATTACTTAAAATATATCATCAAACCAAATAACTGATGTTTGTAATAAAACTACATTACATATTTCAACAAGCTAAAAAGCCCGAAAGTATGCTGTTGTATTGTTATTGTCAAAATCTCAGTCATCCCTTAGCATTTGATCCCACGGTCAGGATGAGAATCCGTGGGAGGCTCACTTGGATCACGCCAATATCCTTCTATATTTGGGTAGCTGAATTAGGAAGGATTATATTGAGGCAATTATGTATCAATTAGAAGTTATTTATTTCTTTATTAAGACATCTTGTATAGATCAATAAATAGGGATAATTTTGTATAATAAGTAGAAGATATTTTTACCCTTCTCCAATTCTATGAATTGTAACATGGTATCAGAGCCACGATTTGTTGCCAATTCTTTGTAAAAGGAAGCCGGCCTTCATTGCCGCTCCTATTGCCGGATCGACGAAGAAAATAGGGCTGCCTTCATTGCCGCTGAAGAACGTTCCTTTTAGTTCCTCGTGTAAGAGGCGAAGAAAGGACTTTTGTCCGACGCCACCGGATGCGAGAAGACTCGCTGAAGAAGCCGAACGACGGAACCAGGAACGGAGGAAGAAAAGAAGGAGAAAAGGAGAGGCGAAGCCTTGCCGACGCTACCAACAAGAAACTCGCAGCGGACGAAGCTTGGCGAACCGACGGAGGCCTTGACGGAAGATGAAGCCGCTGGCCGAGACGAGCTGAAGAGGCGACCAGTGACCCCAATCCAAACTTCCAATCCGACGGGAAGGGCATGACGACCGAAGACTTCGGATACGACATCCACTAACGATCCCGTCGAACATCCTTTTCGGCCGCTCTGGTTCCCCTCGTTCCAACGTTGATTGGATCCGGATCCACATCCGCTGTGTCTGATACGATCTCAAGCCTGCCGCCGTCCGCATCGAGGGTTTTGATTGCCTCGACTGTGAGAGCAGCTGCAGCCGCGGCATCCCTACCTTCGCATGAAGCAAAGCCGCACCGACGAAGCCGCACAGACGCTCGATTTGATCGGAAGCTCCTTCCGGCTGCTTTCTGAACAAATGCAGGTAAAGTGAAAGAATGTGATGACTTAGAATCAAATAATGTCATAGGTATGCTTAAGATGTAAATGATACCCATTATCATAATAAGTGAAGTCTAAACATTAGAAATGGATTTCTTCAACCATTGTTGATTTTTTAATGGAAGCAGCATCACATTATTATGGGCTTTATAATGTCTTACCATTTTCTAGCTAGGTCACAATATGTTATGGTTCATTGTGGTATGGTTGATCTGGTTAGCTTATTTTCTTCCTATTCTATAGAGAAATGAGTTAGGATAATCATTGTCGAAACCAAAGGTAAATAGATTGTCATAAGAGATGGGATTTAGGAAAGATGAGATCGTTGCAAGAAAC